ATAGCCTAGAGATCACCGCTTTTGCAGACTCTGACTGGGCTTCTTGCCCGGATGATAGGAGATCGACTGCTGGTTACTGTGTGTATCTTGGAGACAACCTAGTGTCATGGAGCTCTAAGAAACATCATGTGGTAGCTAGGTCCAGTACAGAGGCAGAATACAGGGCGTCGGCTCATTGCACAGCTGAAATCACATGGATCCAGTTACTGATGAATGAATTAGGAATTGCTCAGCACTCAATTCCCATTATATGGTGTGATAATCAGAGTGCGAGTGCCTTAGCATCAAATCCTGTATATCATGCTCGCACTAAACACAGAGAGCTGGATGCACATTTTGTAAGGGACAAGGTACTTGAAAATCAGCTGAAAATCCAATACATTCCTTCCTCGGATCAAACAGCAGATGTTCTAACCAAACCTACGTCACACTCGAGATTTCAACTACTAAGAGACAAGCTTGGAGTGCTTGAGTACACTCCAACTTGAGAGGGGGAATTAGAATTGCTCAGCAGTTAGGAATATCAGCCAGCTCACGAAGAAAGGACATTAGCATTGTTGCATTTCCTTATTTTCAGGAATTGGAATAATTCTGTTATCCAGCTAGAGAAATTGGTTTCACCCTTTTGCTTCTAGAATATTCTTTATCTTCTTGTATATAACACGGTTGAATTGTAATGATAAAAAAAATATTATTAAAAAGATTCATTCATATCAATATTCTAACTTGCTCAATCTCCATCTTCCATAATTTCAAAGCACGACTCATGAGCTTAAATAACTCCACTTCTTACGATCTTGATTATCTAGTTACTTTTATTGGTAGGGCCATACACTTCCTTTATCCAAGCTTTTTGCATCTTTTTTCTCTTTAAAATCACGCTGAATTTGTCAACCATAAATACTACCTCAATCCAATATTTCCAAAATTCTTTAAGTCTCAAATTTGGATTTAATTGATTTACTGAATTTACCTTGAAAGAATTAATCCTTTTAATTTAATTGTACTTGTGGCAACTCCTGCATAACTTGGGTAATTTACTTTAGTTATCTTATTATAAACTCATTTATTTCCAGTTTTCACTTTGTCATGCAAGAATATGTTTCTTATGGGAAGCATTCCTTTGAATGATTTCTGTCTTTCTAGTTTACATGAATTTATTCTTTTTTGTTCTCAGGTAATTTCTTTAGGATACGAAGTGCATTTGCATTTGGCGCTAAAAGATTGGCTAGATTACTATGCTGCCCCAAGGAAAACATAACATATGAAGTTAATCAGTTCTTTATGAATACGTGGGAAAGGCATGGTAGTGGTCATCGTCCTGATCCACCGGGGGTTGAGCTGTGCGCTTGAAATTATCCACTGCAGATAACCTTCATGAATTTGAGAATTATAAGAATAATATCAGTATAAAAAAAGTAAATGACCACTCTTCTGTTTGTGAAATGGAGGGTCAGCGAGTCCACACGTATTGTGCTTCTTCTCAATATGCTAATAATTCAGCTGGAAGCATGTCTAGAACAAGTGAGTTGTCTGCAGCTTGTCAAAGTCAAAGCTTAAAAAGTCAAATCAATTTGGATCAAATTGGAAGAAACGCTGCTTCCAATCAGGATGTGTGTAATAATAAGCTGCAGAGAGATCTAAAACCTAATCATTTGGTTAATGCCATCTAGGGAAGGTTTCTTTTTGCCAGAACACATTCTAGTCCTGAATTGACCGACTCACATGCTGATGTCTCAGTTTAAATACCGCAAAATAGACAAATCGAAAGTGCAAAGATGCATGCTACTTCTGTGAAGCTCGATATAACTAACAGGTGGAAGAATCTTGGATCTGAAAGTTTAGCAAACCATCAAAGTCGATCTTCAGTTGAAGATACTTTAGCCACGAGGCATGCCCTAATCCATCAAAGGCTTGATGCTTCTGTTGTCCTTAACGGCGCTACAAATTACTTTCACCAAGATTGGTCAGATGCCTTGGATGGAGAGCTTTCATCTACTTCTGGAACACAGGGAATGCACCAGGAAGAACAAGATTTTGGGAGCATGATGGCACATGGTATTAATGAACAGGTTCACTTGCCATTCAACTTTGCTTCGTCACATTTACCTTTCCCGATCCCATCATCTTTCCTGGCCCCTATGGGTTATACCCAACAAAATTTGCCTGGATTGGTTCTGGATTGGTTCCTATGGATATTCCTTCGATAGCTCCATCTTATTCAAATGTACAACTTCCGCATGGTTTGGTTGCACACCAATTGACTTATTTCCCTGACAATGGATTGAGCTCACCTTCTGCTGATTCAATTGAGCAAAGCAATGGAAATTTTGGTTGTGTGGAGATGAGTTCTGGAGAAGTAGAAAATGATTTCTGGCAGGAGCAGGAGCAGGACACAGGCTTCACTGTTAGCCATGACCCTGGAAATGGAAATTATGAAATGCTTCAGACAGATAATACGCAGCCAGCAAAAATGTCTGGTTTAAAACATGTTCCGCCTTGATTAAGTGGCTCTGGTAGTTCTACAAGAATTCAGCAGAAGCATACCAAGGAAAAGCATGGATCGATGCAGGAAGAAAGTGATAATTACCTGTTTCAGGATAACAGCAGTATTGATGTTCTTGCAGAAGAAAGATCAGAAAGCTCCAGGTTCTCGTCGGCTACTCATGATAACTCTTTGAGAAGCAGAACCTCTTTGGAGAATTCCTCGGACGGATCCTCCATAGAGGTGTCTAAATCTACTAGGGAAAATAAAGGAAAGAAACTAAGTTCCACAGATCCAGCTATTGGCCATGGAAAAGGAAAAATTATGTCCGAAAACTTGTCTAATCAAGCCAAGGATGATGACAAGGAATAGGGACCAGTATCTAATGTCAGAATTGAAAACAAAGAAAGTAACCCAGCATCTCAATCAGTTACTCGTTTTCATGTTCCTAGGCATCATATGCCTGGCTTTGAGGCTGGGCAGACAAGTGGCTCTGACTCAATGTTCCCCAGTGCCCCGATGCTCATAGGTTCTGGCTCTAGGGAGAAAATGACCGATAATTCAGAGTTGATTGTATTTTATCCTACTGGGCCGCCAATCCCATTTCTAACGATGCTTACAGTATATAATATTCCACCTCAGAAGGGTACTGTTGATACATCAATTGTGCATTTTAACGGCAATGGAAGCTTAGATACTTGACTCTGGTAAGCACTTCAGTCCTGAGGGATTTGATCAGTCTGAGGATCTAAACTCTTCTAATTCTTTGAGAGGCACAGCTGCTATTTAGACATCTGATGAGCTAAAGTCTGATATTCTTATTAGTGACTTCGATAGCCACTGGCAGAATTTGCTATTTGGAAGGTTTTGCCAAAATCCACTTAACCACGGGCCTTTACTCTATCCTTCACCTGTAGTGGTCCCACCCTTGTATCTGCAGGGTCATTTTCCATATGATAATCCTGGTAGCCCGCTTTCAGCCAAAACTGTAAGGAAATAAACCAACGGAAGCAGAAATATATTCACTAAGAATAAACCAAGAATTTCACAACACCAAGTTGTATATCAATTCATAGGGCTCAGAATTTCATTGCACCCTTTTGTACATTGAAACAGCCATCAGAAAACATCAAACCCCTAATCTATTCATCACAATGGTTACTCAATGGACCGAAGAAAACACAGGGTCAAACCAACACTAAGAAACTCTATCTCGAACAACCACAAAGGCATCAACCACACAGATTGAAGATTAAAACCAAAGTTTTAAATCTATACACAAAGTATCACTAACATACGAGAAGAGAGAACACGAAGAACACCAAAGGACAGAAAGACCCAGAAGCTCTCACACACGAAGGAGAGAAACAACAATGAAAAAGATATGCCCCACATGATGCTTCAGCTGGTATATATAATATCATGCATCAGCCATTAGGTCAACAAAAGAATCAACGGTCCAGAACAGCTACAAGTGGGAATAGATTTGGGCCGGGTTTTGGGCCAGTCTCTTTGCATTATCGGGCAATGGTAAATAACATTCTAGCAATGGGCCAGGCCCAATTCATCATTGCCCCAAGTGTTAGAAAGTAAATGTCACAAATAACATCAAATTCCAACAAATCTCCCCCTTGATGCCAATGCCATAAACCACCAAACACATTAGTGTTTCATAACATCAACACCAAGAAGGTTACCATCTGCAGAAAAAACAAAATTC